GATTAAGCTGACAACATTGTGCAGGATGGTTTGAAGGTAGGGAGATTAAAAGTAAGAATGTTATTGTGAAAGTAATCCATGTATTAACAGATAGATTTCATGGTGAGAGTGGGCATGCAGGGAACAGATTGTATCTGAGTGTTATTGTGAAGGGACCTATTGAGAGAGAACCTGATGACAAATAGGATTGTTTAGGAGAGGGAGGAGTTGAAAGACGACCTCTGGATCTTGAGCCTGGGTTATCTAGGGAATAGTGATGCCATTTGATAAAAATGGGGAACTTGAGGAAATAGGTTAGTTTGGGACATGTTAAATTGGAAGTGTGTCCTGGGATCCTTCTCATTTACAGACCTTCTAAAAGCTATTCGGGTTTCAGGAGATCTTTAGGATCAGCATTCATTCAAAACCATAAATGATAAACATCTATTGATATTTCTTCTGCCAAACCAACCAAAGGACATATCAGTTCAAAGCAAATGATATTTAATTAAACAACGTAGTAGGTCTAGTGATGGTACTACACTACGAATTGTTTCTGCTGAATCGTTCTCTGTGAGTCTTCCAAAACATGGGGATAGAGTTTTCAACTGTTTTAGTTCACAGACTCAGAGGCTGATTCAACGTTTTAGGATTTAGAGCGATAGTCAGTTAGTTAATAGCCAGCTAAAGAATTCCTTAGGCATTATCTTAAAAACAATTTTTTTTAAATTCAAACTAGAACATCAGCAGCGGACATGAACATTTCCAGGCAAGGAAGGCCAGGAAAAGAGAATTGTGCATAAAACTGTGAATCTATCTATCTATCTATCATCTATCTTTTCCTCTCAAAAGCTGCAAAAGAGAGTAATAAAAGTGAAGATATTCTTTTTTTAATCAGTTCTTTGTTTATTCAGTATTTAGGATTAGTTGACACTTGAGGAATTGGTTGCATTGTTGTACATATATAGATCTTTTTATATAATATGGAAATTTACCTATTATATGTATGTATATATATATATGTATGTATGTATGTATAGACAAAATAAGGTCCTCTGGAAAGGTGATACATGAGTTGAGGCCATGCTGTAGAGCCCTAATGGAGGGAGGTAATCAATGCATCAATAAAGTATTACTACTCTGTGGTGTTTTGTATCCAGGAATGTTGTTTTCTGGACCTGTAGCACTTACACACAAGGCAGGCAGTGACACACCTGTGGGGCTCCGGCTCTGCTTGACACCAGCTACTTAAGAGTGCACAAGTAATAGACGATATTCTTCTGACAAAGCAGTTTGGTCAGACCAAGTTGACCAACAACAAAAGGTGCTTATTACAACACAAGAGAATGCTTATCATTGTTACAAAGGAAAGAATGTGTCCCTTTTAGCTCAGTATTTACACTAGATCAAAGGAAACTGTACTTTACCAATCAGTCAATAATCATTTGTTATTTGCTTTATCGATTGAATAAAGAGAAGTGGACAACTTCCTTGAACTATCAACGTTCTCTTTAGTCCTCTTTCATAGTCTTAAAATGCTCAGGAGGAAGGGAAATATTGAGAGGGCAGTTTGCTTTAAGGAGTACCAGCAGTAAGACCTAAGACATCACGCAACACCACCAACAAAAACAACAACAAAACTGTCAACTATGCAACAAAATGGAATTATGTGAGCCCCCAACAGGTCTCTTTTAGCTCTTAAAAAATCCTTTCAACACCTTTAAAGGCCAGTGGAACTAAATTCTGCTATTTCCCCCTGCATGACATCTCCCATATTTGCTCTTTTCTCTCAGATCACACTTTTACTTTACTTCAAGTCCCAGCAATTTCTTGCCTAGGTTCTGTAAGCCTCCCCTCCCTACCAATGGATGATCTATTCTTCAATCATAACCAAAGTTGTTCCTAGGCTTCACTCTGTTCATACCATCCACATGTTCAGGATTTTATGATGTCTTCCTATTTGCACTCTGGATTAGGTTTAAGAAACTCACTTCAAAAGCCTTCAGGAAACATACCCAGATGACCTCACTTTCCATAATCTTGCTCCTTAAACTGTCCCATCCTCCTAACTTCTTCTTCTTTTTTTTTTGGGAGGGGCAGAAAGTTACTGAATACTTTTATTCTACACATAGAAGCCACTAAGGATCTAGACTGTAGGCTCCTTGGGGCTGCATCACAAGTATATGGCTCCACACACCAACACCAGGGGTGAGGGGTGAGAACAGGTCATTCTGTCCCAGTGACAAGATAATAAAGGTCTTCTGACAGAGGGCCTGATGATCAGATACAGTCTCTGATAAGACAGTTCTAACAAAGCAGTGAAAATATCACAGAAAGATGGAGAGGAGAGAGAAGGTAAGCAACAGAGGCCCCTGCTCCCAAAACAAAACTGGTCTGAAACTTGGTGCTGCCCCATCTTAGGACAGGAACAGACTTCTACAGAGGTAACTGGCACCTGCAAGGTCTGAGGCCTCCTGGCCACAGAGCTTACTTGGCCTGAGGGTTTTCTGAAGTTCCTTCTAGCAAATTTAGCCTTGCTGCCCAGCTCTTCCTCAGTTCTGAGAAGCTGGTTATTTTTAAAGTTTTTTAGTATTTTTTTCCCAATTACATGTAATGAAAGTTACCAACATTCACTTTTATAAGATTTTGAGTTCCAAACTTTTTTTTACCCCCCTCCCCTCTTCCCTCTCCAAGATGGCAAGCAATCTGATATAGGCTATCTGTGTACAATCATATTAAACATATTTCCACATTGTCATGTTGTGAAAGAAGAATCAGAACATAAGGGAAAAATTAATAGAAAGAAAAAACAAACAAACAAAAAAGGTGAAAATAGTATGCTTCAATCTGCATTCAGACTCCATAGTTCTTTCCCTGGATGTGGGTAGCATTTTTCATCATAAGTCTTTTGAAATTGTCTTAGATCGTTATATTGCTGAGAAAAGCCAAGTCTATCAAAGTTGATCGTCTCACAATGTTACTGTTACTGTGTACAGTGTTGAGAAGCTGGTTATACTTGGCCAGATTCTCAGATTGGCAAGGGGCACCAGTCTTGATCTGTTCGGTGCAGAGACTCACCCCCAGGTCCGCAATGAAGGTATCTTCAGTCTCCCCAGAATGATGGGAAACCATTAATCCCACCCATTGGACTGGGCTAGCTTGCATGCCTGGAGAGATTCAGTCATGGAGCCGATCTGGTTCACTTTGAGTAGGAGGCAGTTGCAGGCTTTCTCACTGTGAGATCATACCCTACCACCTGGATGCCTGCAGTAGCAGTGAAATTCTTCCAAGTTTCCCAATCGTCCTATTCAAAGGGATCTTCAATAGACACCACCAGATAGTCCTTGATAAAGGTTTTATAGAGGTCCCCAAGCTCAGAAAGGGAGATGTATCTGCTGGAATCATAAGGAGACTTGAAGTCCAAGTCATATTTCCCATTGGAAGAATTCTGAGTCAGCAACGTCCATGCCAATTATGACCTTATCAGTATAGCTGGCCTTACCAATAGCATTCATTCTTCAGCATTCCAGAGCTTCTTTATTCTCTGGCATGTTATGAGCCTTTACTACCTACATTGGTGGTATCCTATCCATATTTCTGCTCAATCACATTCTTCAGATTGTGATTGACCTCAGACCCAATGTGCATGGCCTTCTTGAAGTCTGCTGCTCCAACGGGGAGGATCATGAACTCCTGCATAGCCGGCTTGTTACCAGAATGAGAGCCACCATTGGTCACACTGAAGGCTGGAACTGGCAGGATGACTTCTTCATTGTTTGCAAGGTCAGCAATGTGGTGGTACAGGGAGACACCTTTCTCAGCAGCTCCAGCCTTACAAACAGCCAGAGACACTCCCAATATGGCATTTGCATGAAATCTAGATTTCTTCTCAGAGCCATCCATCTCTATCATCAGTTTGTTGATCTTCTCTTGTTCCACAACATTCAGTTTCTTGTTAATCAGGGTTGGGGTAATAGTTTTATTTGTTTATTTTATTTATTTATTATTTATTTGTGAACTCCTTTGGACTTTTCTTGGCAAAGATATTGAAGTGTTTTGTCATTTTCTTCTCCAGCTTATTTTATAGATGAGGAACTAAGGCAAACAGGGTTAAGTGACTTGCCCAAGGTCACATAGCTAGTAAGTGTCTGAGGCCAGGTTTGAACTCAAGAAGATGAGTCTTCCTGATGTCGGGGTTGGCATTCTATCCAATACACCATCTTCCTCTCAACTTTCGTGTGTCAACAATACAGTATCACAATTGTCTTTCTGCATGGGTTGCCATGGCTTCTTCCTTCATTCAGATGTCTCTGGATAAGGTTCCTTTCCCAGTGAGATCTTCTCCAGGTGCAAATGAGGCTGTGATCCAGCCTGTTTCCAAATTACTTGAACTTGTATATCCTACCTATTGGATTCAATTTATATAGATGCATCATTTAATCTGGATTTTTAAATGTTTGCTTGCTTTTGCTATGACCTTGACATCTTAAATTTGCACATTTTAGACAATATAGTCCCAGAGGGCAAATGCAGTATATTTTTGAATAGTTTTATATAACATTTTCCAGAAAGATAATAAAAAGGTTTTAGATGATGATAATTTTTATCATTTTAAGCACATGCTATCCCAGCAGGAATAGTACCTGGGTTTGTTGTAAATGAATGATGAACTATGAGTGATAGAAACTATCACTATGCAAGCATGGGTCAGGAGCTAGAATAGCAGGCAAGACATGCCACCAGAGTGGAACTGACCTCTGTGTTCTCTGCCTCCTTAACTAGAAGAACTGAACAATCACCAGGTTCCCATGATGTAAGCAAGACAACAGAGCACTACGATTTTAGTTCCATTGGGAAGCCTGGGTAGAGGGCAGGGCCTTTGTTGGCGAAAGGGAGGAGAGGAAAGGAAAAAAAATCTGGGTGAATAATGAGGGAGACCTTTAGAACAATCTTTTCAGGGAATGTCAAGAACCTTTGCCTCCCACAGGCAACTTTCCCTGCTCTGCAGCTCTAGCTCAGGCCTAGGAGATCCACTTGCCCACCTTTTCCCTAATCACTAGTTTCACCTGTTTGTTCCTCAGGGTATAGATGAAAGGGTTGAGCACTGGGGTCACCACAGTGTTAAGGATAGCCACCACCTTGTTCAGGTTCTTTCCCTCACTGCCCTTATCTGCCCTGACATACATAAAGATGCAGCTGCCATAAAAAAGTGATACTACAATGATGTGGGAAGAACAAGTGGAAAAGGCTTTCTGCCTCTCCTTGGCTGAGGGGATGCGCAGGATTGTGTAGAGGATGTGGCCGTAACAGGAGGCAGTGACAGATAAGGTGCCCAGCAAAGTGACATTAGCCTCCACAAAGCCTATCAGTTCCACCAGGCTTGTGTCTGCACATATAGTCTAGCAATGGGAAATTGTCACAGAAAAAGTGATTGATGATATTGGGGCCACAGAAAGGCTGCTGAAATGTGATGCCACTAGGTACAATGATGAGAAGGAAACCTCCCACCCATGAGGACAGCACCAGCTGCACACAGACCCTTTTCCTCATGATGGTGGCATAACGCAAGGGGTTACAGATTGCCACATATCGATCAAAGGACATCACAGCCAGGAGGAGGAATTCTGTAGTTCCTAGAAAGAAGTAGAGGAAACTTTGCAGCAAACATCCCAGAAAGGAGATGGTCTTTTTTCCTGTTAGGATGTTGTTCAGCATCTTGGGAAAGATGACAGAAGTGAACCAGATCTCCAGAACAGCAAAGTTTCTGAGGAAGTAGTACATGGGGGTGTGAAGACGATGATCCATCAGGGTGATGACAATGATGAGGAGGTTCCCCAGCAGTGTGATAAGGTAGGTCAGGAGGAGCCCCACAAAGATCAGCATTTGTAATTTGCAGGCATCTGTGAGTCCCAGAAGAATGATCTCAGTGATAGTGGTGCTGTTCCCCATGTTCCCTGTTGGGGAAAAAGAGGTGAGAGTATTAGTGCAAGAAGCCGTGATGCTGTAGGATCCCAATTGATCTAGAGGTGGCTGACATAAGAGATGAAAGAAGCTTTTCTAGCTGAAGGAGTCCTTTATTTTCATGTACAGCAATATCTTCAACCTCCAGATCCACATCCATCAGAACTTCTCAGCCAGTGAATAACTTATATAGAATTTGCCTCGGATTGAGAACTAAGTGGAGTTAGCAGTGTAAAGCTGAATAATAACTCAGATAGTTGACTGAAGAGTGTGTAGACCAAACTCTTATCTACTTTAGTTTCCCAAACAAGCCAGGTCCATTCTTTCTGTACTTACTCTGTTCCTTCTAAGAAAACCTGTTCTCAACACTTCTTCTTTCTTTTTATCTCAGATTATGGATCATCTTTTTTTAAATGTTGTTTGGCACTATAGAAATCATCTCATCGTTCCACTAAACATTTTCCCTCCTACAATGCCCTATCTTCCAGGTCACTCAGAGCAGAGACCTTGAAAGTAAACAATCAGCCTAGCTAATTTACCCAGCTGTTCCTTCCTTGTGCATCAAGACTTCAAGGATCTATAATTTCACTAGTGTGGGTACTATCCATACTAATACCAATGGAAACTCTTCTATCATTAAGTAGAAGGTTTTTTTGAAAGCTGCTAGAATTGAAAAATTTATTGTCTTGCCTGACTACCTTGGTGGATCTCTTTCAATTTCATTAGGATGTTCTTAGACATCAGACATATACTCTAACATCAAATCCACAATTGTAGTCTTTCCACCTTAGGAAGATTTATCAAAACCTGTGCTCAAACTGTGATAAGGTATGCAGGTAGTACTTGGAAGACTAAATAGCAGTTATATCTATATGTGAATATGTCTGATATTTCTATATCTGTACCTATTTATCTCTATCTTTATATCTCTCTCTCTTATTTCTATATTATGTGTTTAAGGGGGGCAAATTAGGAGTCTATTACAGTAGTTCAATATTACTTCTTATATGAACTGCTTTTAAAAATTGCCTCATTAAAAAATAAAAAAAGAAAAATACATTAAAAAAAGGAAAGGATAAAAATTGCCTCATTTTAAATATTCTAAATCACTAATAAACAGAGGAATGTAAATTAAAGCAATTTAAGGTTCTTCCTCACACCTGTCAGCTTAGCAAAGATGACAAAAGAAGAAAAAAGATAAGTGTTGGAGGGGCTGCAAGAAGACAGGCTTGTCAGTGAACTTGGTATAACTGGGATAATTGGTCCAGCCATCCTGGACAGCAATTTGCATCTATACCCCCAAAGTTATCTAAATTGTGCATTTAACCCAGGTATACAACAAACTAAACCTGTATTCCAAAGAAATAAAAAAGAGAAGGAAATTTTGCATATACATACATACATACGTACATATACATATATATTTATAGCAGCCCTTTCTGTAGTACCCTAAAATTTGAAGGTAGGGGGTGTCCTCTAATTGAGAATGGTTAAACAAATTGTAGTATATGAATATAATGAAATATTGTGCCACAAGAAATAACAAAATGGACAGTTTCAGAGGGAACTGGGCAGATTTCTATGAATTGATACAGAATGGAGTGAGCAGAACTAGGAGAACAATTTATACTGTGATAATTATAGAGAAAAACAACTTTGCAAGATTTTAAAACTCTGGTCAATGCAATGTCACTTACCTCCTGCCAGAGAGGTAATGGATTTAAAATGCAGAATAAGACATACATTGTTGGGCATAATCAATGAGGGAATTTGTTTTGTCCAAACTATATGTATTTGTTAAAAGGAATTTTAATTTTGAAATTTGATTAATGGGGGAGCAGCGGAAAGGAGAGATAATAAACATTTATAAAATACCTTATTTTAAAACCTTGATCATTTAAAAAATTTTCTTTTTATATTTTATCATTAACAATGTTAGAAAAATGAAAAAAAAAAGAAATTAACAAGAAGCAAGAAAAAAAAGGCAGCCCTTATAAGAAGTACATAAAACAAAAGAAAGAATGAAACTGGATTAAAGAGAATGGCATTTTGAGTGACACATTTCTGAAGAATACATGTGCTAAGTGTTCAATATATTACAGAGATCACAAAACAGGTATTTTATGTATGATGTTCATTATTTTGTAGTTAATAATTATCATGAGTTGAACAATAGTATGAAAAGAATGATATTGAAGGTATTGTTCAGTCCCAATTTTGGAAGACTGTTAGTGCTCAAAGATATGTTGTGAGCTGAATTCTGGTTAATAGCCTCTATTGGGTATTTGTGAAAAATAACTAAAATTGGAAGCACTGAAGCAGGATGAATGTTTTGCAATCTTTACCATTTGGAGGAAGTACTTACATTGATGAGCCCAAAGATCCATTGAAGTTTCCACCTCTAACTTTTCTCTTCAACTCTAGTCAACTGCCAGATAGCTGATGGTCATTTCAAACTTAGTCTGTTAAAAATAAAACTTTTTATCTATCTCCTTGAACCTGCCACTACTCTAAACTTCACTAATTCCAATGAGGGCACTGTCATTGTCTCAGTCACTAATGCTGAAGCTATCTTTGACTGTTTTATATTCCTCATCCATCATATCTAATCAGTTTCCAATTCATTTGGATGTTTTAGATTCATTCCCTTCTCTCTACTTTAAATGCCGACCATCCCAGTTCCGACCTTTGTCACCTCTTTCCCAGAGACTACTGTAACAGACTCTTAATTTGCATTCTTCCTGTTCTCTCCCTTTTCCAATTCATATACCACATAGAGACTAAAGCCATCTTTCTAAGGCACAGGTTTGCCCATGTTACTCCCCTGCTTAAAAACACTCAATGGATCTTCACTGCCTATAGGATAAAATGCCCATAGCTGAGCATTGAAGGTCCTCTGCAACCTAGCTCTTACCTACCTTTTTGCCCTTACTGCTCCCTGCCATTCACTACATTTCAATCAAATTGGACTACTAGCCATTCACTCATTCTGATACCCTATCTCCCACCTCTGTGAACTATCTTAAGTCAATCCTCATTGCCCTAATGAACTTACTCCTGAGCTTTACTAATCAGAACTCAAATTTACTTTTTTTTTTTTAGGCAGTTGGGGTTAAGTGACTTGCCCAGGGTCACAAAGTTAATGTCTGAGTCTGGATTTGATCTCAGGTCCTCCTGACTTCAAGGCCCGTGCTCTATCCTAGCTGTCCCCCACTTACTTTTAATGTTCAATTCAGGAGCTACCTCCTTTAGGGAGCCTTCCCAGATTCCCCAGTTGTTAGTACTCTCTCTTCTTCCTTAACTTTTCTTATATTGAGCTTATTTCTATGCCTGTAGAGGCATAGTAGAGGTTAAGCTTCTCGGGATCTAGGACTGTTTCATTCTTGTCTTTGCGTTCCCGGTATCTAGCACAGTGCCTTGCACACAAGAGGCACTTAATAAATATTTATTGAATTGAATGTTGAAGTCACAGTGAACTACCTGGCCTTATTGTCAAGTACGATGATGAAGGCTGGCTGCTGGCTTAGGTTTGTAGATCTTTCTACAGGACAGGAGCAAGAATCAGTGTGATTAGGACGATCTAGAGAAGTTGTGAGTCAACAGAACCAGATTCATTAGGATTAAGAGTTGGATAGGACAGTTCAAGAGATGCCCAGGTCTAAGACAGGGAAGAGCTGGTTTTATGTGATTCAGGCAGGAAAAAAAATAAGGTTTGTGATAGAACACAAGTTGAAAAAAATCAACTAAACCAAGCTGTTGTGGAAAAAAAAAGTGAGAGAGTGGTGCATTTCAGCACATTATTCCAGAAAATATGCTGAATACCAATTAGTAATCAAAACAGTCTTTCCTGCATTTCTCCTGAATTGAATACATAAGACCCAACCAGAATGGCATAATTTATGACAGAGCTCCTAGGGAGGAAGCAGAGATTTACCCTCCTATGAATTCTTGCTATTCTCCCCTCTTTTAGAGGGGAGAGAGTCTGAGTTCTAATTTTATAGTTTCTGGAGAAGAGGAAAATAATGTCACCCTCCTCATTGTGAAAGTAACTCTTTTTCTTTGTAGGGTTGTGAGAGAGTGGATTGGCCACGTTTGAAAATCATTGCTGTGCTGGCGTAGGTGGTCTTGACTCATGATGCCTCAGGCCATGTTCTATCCTGGGCTTGTTCAATATTATTTGAGTTAATAGACTCGTAGGGTAAAGAAATCCTGTAGATGGAGACTACCTAGATGTTAGCAAAGCACTTGATAGAATCTGTTGGACTCTTCTTGTGGACAAGATGGAAAGGTGTGTGCTGATAGGTTAGAACTGGTTTAGTGGTTAGACCCAAACAGTAGGCTTTAATGGCTTGGCATGAATGTCAAAGGAAATATTTACAATGGAGTCATGCAGAGTTATGAGCCTGGCCACATGCTGGTTAAGATTTTTACCAAAGCCTTTGGTAAAGTCAGAGAAGTTATGCTTATCAAATGTGCAGACGACAAATGCAGAAGAGATAGTTAACATGTACTTTTCAAGACTGTTGTATGAATCAATGAGATAATGTAATGTAAAGCATTGTGCAAGTCTCAAAGTTCTATATAAATGTCAGTCATTATTTTCTCAGCTGGTTTAAAGGTTGATTGAATCTTATAAGAGGACATTTAAGAGGGATAAATGTGGAGCCTTATGTTTGGGTTCCAAAAATTGATGCTTTAAATAGAATGTGAGAGACACTTGGCTACACAGTGATTAGCCTGACAGTCATGTTGGGGTTTTAGTGGGCTGCAAGCTTCCTATGTCATGAGTGAAAGAGAGCCCCCAAAGCTGGCTCAATCATAGACTTCAGGAAGAGAGGAGACACAATGTCCAGAATGGGTAGGTGGTAGTTTTTCTCTGTCCTCTCCTATTCAGGCCACGTCTGCAGAATTGTGGTCAGTTCTGGGTAACCCCTTTTAAGGATATTGTTAAACTGGAGGGCAACAAGAATGGTTTAGGGCTTTGAGGT